GGCTTCTTTGAGAAGGTATGATTAATCTGGCTCTGATCTAATAAAAATACGATCACCTTCACCTTTTCTTGCTTATTATTCTCACAGGTCACCTTGAGTGCTTTCATGCTTCCTCTTTTGTCCTTCAGCAAATTCAAGTTTCAGCTTTTGTTTTCACTTTTAGGGGTCTCCAAAACTCTGCCTTGCCCAAAAAATATTGCCTCACTTTTTGTAGCTATGCTATGCAAGTACCAGATTTCTCCAGAAATCTTAGCAGTTTTCTACCCAGTAAGTGCTCTAGGATCAAACTGAACTTGCATTCAGTTTGGAATGCAAATTTTGGAATGGCATGGATCTATCCGTGTCACTGGTACAGATGTAAGAAACAGAAATCGTGGGTACGTTAGATAGCAACAAACAATGCTGGATAGTACAAACTGTACCATATTCCCATCTAGGACCGCACTGCTAATGTCCCTCCAGGGAGAAAAATGAATCATTTATTTCCATCCTTTGTTTGTTATCTTTTAACTAGCTATTAATGGATGAGAAGACTTTCCCTGTTAGCCTGAACACAGATATGTTTTTTTAAGCATCTTCAAAAAAGAATGAGTTTTTGGACTTCATAAGCTTCAGGGTGAAAAGCAAGATACCTCTAACTCCCCTACAAGTTCATTTGGGTCCCTCCGGTACACCTGTGGGACCACAGCTGTGTAAGAGGTCTAAAACCTTCTTAATTTGTCTTACCAACCAGTATGAACACATGGTTCCCTAAGCAGAACTATAATGCCAATCTAACATCCATTCAGGGACAGGTCAAGAAATATGCAGGGAAAGGCTACAGCATGCTTTTTTACCATGGCCATTCCATCACAATCCTTGGGTGTTGCAGAATTATAGCTATCAATATTTCTAGTACTGCAGTCTTATAATATCACAGTTAAATGGAAACAAGCAACCCTGATGATGCATACATATTAGCTGGAATTTGACTTCCTTCAATACATGGATGAACCATCAGAGACGACTGAGCAGCCATTATTTCTGAGAGGTATATGACTCTCCTACACAGGCTAGCTCTGGATGCATTCTTCAGGACTGGGAAAAGGCTACGAAGCATCATTTCCAATGGGACTGTGGCTCTGAAGAAGTCTCTAAAGAACAGGCACTGCAAAACAGTTTAAAAGATAAACAAGGCTATTGATACTTACACAATGCTTTGTACTAACGCTGCTGGCAAAACAGCAGGGACAGAAAGTGGCAGTGCTAACAGGGCTGAAGCTTCCAGTCATCTCTGTGGCACTGACCTTTGTACCTTAACTTTCCCCTTCCATTTTATTTTGTTTTTCTTTCAGATTCACTTCTGCTTGGTGAGGTGCAGAAGTGAAGGCTTGAAGGCTAGTTGGAGCACAGCTGCTCTGTGGGACCCAAGTGGGACCCTGGAATCAAAGAATCAGTCTTGTGTTTCTTACCAGTGACCTGCTGGAACTGAAAGAACTTGTGGGCAAGCGTTAGGGTCCAAGTGCTGACAAATCAGCAAAATTATGAAGTTGCCATGGGCGCAGCTGACCTAAGACACTCTCAACTAGCAGTGCTTGGGTTCTGTATTTCCTGTCTTAGTGTACTATAGGCATAACAGATGCTCAAAGACAACACTTCCAGTAATGTGTGTCTCCTTGAGGCAGAAAATTCACTTACAGTGAAGACTGTAGACTGTAAATGCATCTTGTGAGAAATGCATGTGCACAAATTAGCTTTTTGTGATTCCACAAACTATACTGAAGAATCTGATGGATCCTGGATAAAAAAAGGAAAGTCTTCTGGTGAAGAAGCATTGCACGGTCCCACAACTGCAGTCTTGAGTAGTATGACAAAATTAAAAAAAGAAATAAGAAAGTAAGGAAATTAACTGAAAGAAAAAAGTGCAATAAGGAAGGATAGAATACTAGGACTTGGGAAAAATAGCTCAATACAAGGATTATTCTGTGACACTTCTTACACTCCAGCATTGCTCCTTATACCTAAAATCAATGCTGCTCCTTCTATTTTCAGTAACACCAATCTTGTTTCTTTATTCTGTAGATCAGTGTCAGAAACTTGAAAACCAGTATCACTTTTTTCTTCTTTTTAAACAGAGAAGTATGAACTTAAAACTTAGTTGAGGCAATTCTATAGCTGTAAATTTTCACAGCTGATAACATCTTTCCTTTATTGCCTAACTGCAATCACGACACCAAGAATCTTAAATCAAGAAAGTAAATTTTAAGGTATTGTAGCCCAATTTTAAAGATAGAGAGATGTATTAACAAATGTATCAACAGGTATTATTAAAAGCTTTCACAACACCTTTTTTTAAAAATATGTAAGAAATTGCACATCCTTTTCTCCAGAGAATGATTACATAAAAGAACATGGCAGATGTGACTTACTGAGGTGGTGGGAATGTCCACTGGTATTAGCAGGCATTGAAAACTCTGTATCTGGCAATCCTGGACTGATGCAGAAGACAATAGCTTTTTATTAAGTCACTAAACAGATGAAATCAGTAAAGAACTAGCACAGATTTCATTGTATGCAACATTGGGGGAATGTTTTCTAGATTAAGTATTTTAGAAAAAAAAGATAAAAAGAATTACTCTATTTCTAAATAGGCTTTCCCATTTGCAATTCAATCATCATATTTTAAATAAAAACGTTAGCATAAAAACAGTTGGAGGGAATTTCCTATTAGCCTAGCAATAATTGTATCTTGAAATAGTCACCAAGGGCTGTAACTCACAGATTTCACAATCCCTCCCTCTCATTCTGAACACCTAGCTATGTATTTATCTTCAGGCACACCTACAATCATTCTCTATATGCATACAGCCAGCACCCTTTTACAACATTACTATCACTACCTTGACTACTCTATCCTGTATCTCTGGTCTCTTCAATGTATTTCTACCTCAGATTTATGCAAAAACTTTTGAAATAACCCTTTTAGGTCCAGTGCACTAACTCTCAGTCTGGGTTTTTTTTTTTAATTTCTGCCCTTGACTACACCAAAGTCATGTCAAATTAAACATTGTATTTTCAATTTAAATTATCTCTATCATTTCTTTTAGTCCATATTTCTGGTACCAAGTTATTTTTGGAGACTTACCATTAGTTTGTGAATTTTCTGTGACTGTACAGTGTTTATAGACTGCAACTACAATTTAATGGCATGCAAAGGCTATACTTAGGATGTTATTAAACTATAAATATATGATAACAGGATCCAATTGAGCATATTTGCTATTAACTATCTTATTAAAACTACACTATTTATTTTTAAAACTACTTAAGGAAACTATTATTTGAGATATTATTTATATTGTGCATTTACATTTTAAAAAAGTTACCAATACTCAAAACAATAACTAATGTATTATCTTTGTTTACCTCATAGAAAACAGAAGACATTTTAGAGGAGTGTTTAAAATTAGCTTGTTAACTTTCACATATATTAAACATTTGAATGGTAAAAGAAGATTGGCTTTCATTCTTGAATAGCATTTCCATTTTCTCATTAACCTATCCTTGACCAAATAGAGCATACCATTTACAGAGCAATGCCATAAGTCAGGTTTATGAAACAAATGGGAATTCTGTTATTGATTTTAATTGGAAAAAAATACAGTGCAGTATAAGGAAAAACTACTCTGGAGTAATTTTCATCAGCATGAAAGCACAAAAGTGCTACACTGCTGAGGTTTCTCACTTTTTATTTTTTTCTGAATTACCCTTGTGGAACAACACACCCAATTTTCAGACAGCACAACACTGAAGCTGTATGACCTCTCCAGATCTTCCTTTTATTTTTAATTATCTGTGTTTTGTAAAAAGCTCAGGATGGTAGCTTTTTGTATTGATGTGAGACCTAATTCATATGACACTATGGAACATACATGAACTATGTCACATACACAAAGTAATGTATTACAATAAACCAATTAGCTCAGCATCAGCATCCACACTACATTAACTGCGCTTACAGAAAAGAAATACTCATCTTTGTTTTTCCTGCTAACAGCCTCCCCTCTGAGTAATACCAAAGATGATCTACCAGCCTTCAAACTTCTCAAGTCTGCTTACCTTTGATAGCTAGGAGCGTTTCTTGTTATTTTCAGTATCAAATTATGAACTGGTATGACACAGCTTTATAAGTGGAGGACCAGAATTTATCAAATTTGACCTGTAGAAAGGCCTGGGTAGACTCATAAAAGGATGTACTGTTTTACTTTTTCCACATACTTTCAGAAGTAATCTATATTGTTCTTGCAAACAGGAAAAATGTATCTGCTAGGAAGACTCAGCACTACAGAAAGTAACTACATAAGTGAATGTAGATGAGGCCTGGTGAAGAAAGGCTTTTAGACTGAAAATGGGGAAACATGGGTAAAAAGTGGATCCCACATTTCAGTGGTCTAACTTACATGTTTTTCAGTTAACAACGTTAATAACCATGAAAATGTTTAAGTGTTGAAGTAGTAACGAGAGGACTGAGCTTTCTTCATATAATAAGCAGAAAACAAAGCTAAAACACCCACACCATTTACTCCATTTTGTATGTCTAAAACAGGCAATACAGAATAATATATATGATATTATTCCAACTTTTTTATATGGCTTCCTTCATAAGAGACTGATTCTGATTTTTTTTGACAGATCTTTCTTGACCACACTCAGAACTAGTAACATTTTTCCCAGAGTAATTTTCTTTATTCCACTATGCAGACGCAAATTTTTCCAAACAGTAATTATCACAATTATCATGGTAATGTGCACAAAATTAAAGATTTAAGAATGAATGAAAAGTCTTTTTACAATTTGTAGTTTAGATTCAGAGCACTGTGTATGAGTCACCCAGGAGAATGTAACTCAGCTCTACTTTAATAATCATCCATCTCTGATTTCCTATGGCATGCATTAGCTAGAGATGTATTTTCAAATATTATACTCAAGACTGAGTGAAGTTTAGGGAAATATTAAAAAACTTACCTTCAAAAACTCTGAAGGCTTTCTTGCAGCTTGGCAGAGGCCATTTTGCAGAATTCGATTTTTGAAAATTTTCTTTTAACTTCAAATATTCCGTAGGGAAAAAAGATTTGGTAGAGTTGTTCAGTTCTACAATAATTAATGGGAAGAATGTATACATTAGTGCTGTAAATATACCAATAATTTGCATATGTTTATACTATAAAAATGCCTTATCTACTGTGTAATCCTTTTTCTGATTGTAACATCTCTTAAATTGTTTTAAATTCATATAAACCCAAGAACAAGTCTTAAACATGCTGTTTTGATTCTGTTCCTCTGAAAAAAAAACATTTAGGAAAGATGATGTCTAATTCTAGCAAAATGAAGTACAGGCTATTTAACTTACCAAACTATGATGTCCTCTATGAATGAAAATAACATCTATCAAACTGAGTGTGGTAGTGTTTTTTGTTTAACACCATCACTCAGTAACAGTCAGTAATGCAAGGATTGGGGAAGAGTCTGAAAATTTTCTTGGAGATTTTTTAGACATTGTGGATTAACAAGAATTAAGTAAACATTTGTGGAATGATTAATGACACATTGCAAGACTTGACATAACTTATTAATCTCAAGAAATTATCAGCTTCTCGGGATATAATTTGAGGAAGTATCTTTGTGGACTGCAACTCAAAACTGTCAAAACTAACCTATCGGTACAAAGACAACAATGGAAAATTTTTTTAAAATAACCATATTTTCCTACCACAGAAAAGAAGTGGTCTGCTGATAACAGACAGAGTTGCCAATATAATAGGTTAACTATTAGGGAAAATAGGGTAACTACAGGGAAAACTTCAAACCCCCGTATTTTGGCCTTTCAAACCACCATGGCTCCAGACACATACTAATAACAGCAGCTGCTATCATAATTCTGTCTGTACCTTAAAATAAAGAACAGGCCCTTCACAGATCTTTGAAAAGACTTATGTATTATTACTTTACCTGAGTCATTGCAATTGTACGTATTTTTTCAATAATAAGTATTTTATGAGAGGATCAAATCTTTTTCTCTAGTAAATTTGAGAAAGCTACATTTTTTGTAGCCAGGCTTCAGAAAGAAGAAAAAATTCCAAATGCCCTTTGGTTGCAGTAACTTTTTCTACATAACAGAAAGGCATTAGCAGATTTTAAGAAAAAAAAAAAAACAAAACAACCCAACAACAAAAACTGGTCTTATTCTAAAAATTATCCTGTATTTTACCGTGTCAGAACACAGGTGGAATGAGGCCACACAACACATGCAGAGTGCAGAAATTTCCAAATCCCTCTCATTATGTTAGAACAGTGCTACTGCACCCATAAACCTCTGTTAGTGAAGGGAAAG